GGACGGGGGAGACTGAGGCTCTGTCAAAGCCACGGGGGATGCTCGGAGGAGGGAGAAGCGGCCGCGGGTCCCCCGCACCAGCAGCTGGCTGTAGAGACGCCACCGCTCCTAGCCATGGGGCGCAGGGTTTGAGCAGCACGGGGGGGTTGCAATCTGCAGGCTGAGCGAGCTGACACCCCAAGAGGAGGGGGGCAGTGGGTAGGGTTATCATACGTCCGTATTTTCCGGACGTTTTTATATATTTAAAAAATCCTCCCGGACGGCAATTAACAACTAAAAAGCCGGACATGTCCGCGGAAATACGGACGTATGGTAACCCTACCTTAGTAAGATCTAAAATCCTTTGTTATGCCTAAAATCTTTGGAAACATATTAGTTGGTGAAATTTCATAAACATGTCTATTGTTATGGAGGTATCACACAGTAAATGAGTGTTCCCTTTTTCTGAAAGCAATGAACATTGTTATGAACACACTAAACCTCTGTGACTGATTCATTTAAAATAATCAAGTATCAGGGGGTAGCCGTGTTAGTCTGTATCTACAAAAACAACAAGGAGTCTGGTGGCACCTTAAAGACTAACAGATTTATTTGGGCATAAGCTTTCGTGAGTAAAAACCTCACTTCTTCGGATGCATAGATTTAAAATAATGTCTTTGTTTCAGTGAGTTAAATATGTAGTAATCTGGAATGGTTACTTTATGAAGGCTTAAGAGTACATTTAAAATATAAAATCAGTTTAGCAATACTGATTAAGAAAATGTAAAGCAGAGAAGAGCTGCATCATGTATTCCATAATATTTAATGTTGTATTCAGCAGGAGAGCTGACTTGCCCTTACTACAAAGTTTTTGCAAATAAATGTCTGACAAACTTCAGGGCATATCAAAAAACCTGTGACTGACATTTTTTATTCCCAAGTTTAGCGCTTTTAATTAGATACCTTCTGCATGTCCAGTCTGTGTGAGGGAGAGGGTGCAGGGGTCTCTGTGGGGAACTGTGACTCTCTGCCACCGTGAGGCTGGACGGGTATCTTGTTATTCTTTCTGCCTTGTCCCTCCGTCCCCGTCCCCGCCCCCGCCAGGCTGAAAGCTCAGGCTGCCGTCGGGCATAGGGGCACCAGTTTAATATTACGGCATAGGGCCCCATAAATCCTAAGGACAGCCCTGGGGGTGCCAAAAAGCGGTGCCCTGGCGCGGCAGGCAGGAGCCCCCTTACGGATGGCCGGTTGACCCCGAGCGCCGTCTTGGGGGCTAGATTGTCCCT